TGAAACGTGGGGAATCAATGTCTACACATGAAATATCTTCTCTTCGTGCTTATGTCAACTTATGGGATGCAGTTTGGTGGAATGACAAAACGTTCGCAAGACTGATTTCATTGACTAATGTTTTAATGGTTTTATGGTATTTTATTAATTTAAAACAGAAAACTTAAAGAAATAGAAAAGCTGAATATGAATACCGAAGTATTGAAGAACAGTGTATTTGATAATAATATTACCTTTTCTTAGTGTCCCTATAAAGCGTAAAATAAATGATATAGTCGGCGGGCGAAACTTTTGTCGTCGACTAATTTGTTGAGTCGAGTAGTCACTATCAACCCAGCTTGTAATGAACTCGACTGCTGGCACGATATTAAAGGTCGAAATATTTTAAGTTTCGTCTCAAACTTATCACTGATGTATAAATTTCTCTTTAGTACCGACCTGCTCAGATAACGTGCAAAACGGACTAGAAACAGGTGTCGATTGTGGTGGCTCTTGTCCTCTCAAATGTAACAATTGGTTCTGCGTATTAGACACTGAGTGTAAAAGCGGCGTTTGCTCGTCACAAACTTGTCAAGGTAGGTAACTACAAAATTACTGTTTCTTATACAGAAAGGAGATTTCAGCGCCTACTTGTAATGATGGTGTTCGAAATGGTGGAGAAATCAATATTGACTGTGGTGGCCCATGCTTGAAACGATGCAATGGCGGCATTTGTACATCAGCTGATGATTGCTGGAGTGGTGTATGTGGAATCAATAAAACCTGCTCAGGTACATGAATTTATCAAGAAATTCTTGAACACACACCATTTATTTAGCACCCAAGTGTTCCGACAACATACAAAATGGAATCGAAACAGGCATTGATTGTGGGGGACCTTGTCCTGAAAAGTGTGGCAACAACCACTGCATATATGATAGCGACTGTAATAGCAGCATTTGTTCGTCGCAAGTCTGTCAAGGTATAAAACTCGAAGCAAATGTACTCAGTGTTAAAATAAAAAGAAATTGCAGCGTCTTCTTGCAGTGATGGTGTTCGAAATGGTGGAGAAATTGGCATTGACTGTGATGGTCCATGTACGAAACGATGTAATGGTCGCGTTTGTACATCAGCTGAGGATTGTTGGAGTGGTGTGTGTGGAGTCAATAAAACTTGTTCAGGTAAATGATTCTTGTAACGAATTTTGAATCTATAACCTGCTTTTCAGTACCGTCATGTTCTGATAACATAAAAAATGGGCTCGAGACAGGTGTCGATTGTGGTGAGGTTTGTCCTCTAAAGTGTGGCTCTCAGTCCTGCAAGCGTTGTTCTGAGTGTCAAAGCGGTGTTTGTATAGATTGGCCAGGTTGCGCTGGTAGGAAACCAGAAAAATGATTCTCGAATGTTTAATGACACTTGTAGAGGCTACTTGCTATGATGGTGTTCGAAATGGTGGAGAAATCGGCATTGACTGTGATGGTCCATGTTTGCGTCGATGTAATGACCGTGCTTGTATCTCAGATGATGATTGCTGGAGTGGTGTATGTGGAATCAATAAAACGTGTTCAGGTAAATGATTGCATTTAGGAATTTCTTCTTTTCAACTCTCGTCTTTAGTACCTTCATGTTATGATAACGTACAAAATGGGCTCGAAACAGGCGTTGATTGTGGTTGGTTTTGTCCTTTAAGGTGCAACTCTCAGTTCTGCGCCTCAGATGCTGTGTGTAAGAGTAGTGTTTGCGTAGGGTATAGTTGTCAAGGTATGAAGATTGAAAAAAAGACTATGTGAAATATATTCTAAGAAATTGTTAGCTTTCTCTTTCATCCAAATCTCCTACCCACTAAATGTTAATAGGTCGGAAGGAATCAATAGAAAACTATGATCTGTATTAGCTTGGTTAGTAGAATTAGTAGTCCTACCTTGTCTTGTAGGTTAATGTAATACGGAAGGATATAAGTTCAGATGATGAATATGACTTTTATTCAAGGAAAACGTGTCACCCAGATAACACAAAATACACAACTGACTGCTGGGGCAGACTTGTTCATATTTTAACGGGAGAGAGAGAAAGAGAAAAAAGAAAAAAAGAAAAATAATAATAATAATAATATGGACATATATGTATATGTCGAGGAAATATCGAACCTCACATAGGTTACGTAAAGGAGAACGAAAAGAAATGAGAAAAGTTAGCGGCAACTATGTAATATCTGTTGACGCTAACA